TGGTATGGGGAGGGGTGGATTTTATCTAGTGCACGGTGTTAAGGAAAAACAATTTAAACCCAGAATAACTTTGTTTAGTTAAATTTAGTAGAAATCCAAAATAATGGAACCATAAAGCTTCTGATTACTTGTGGGAGTAAAAAAATGCATTTTAGGCAAATAAGACTTTTAGACTTCATTTATATATTAATCTTGTGTACATTTTTAAAGATTATTTTGTCTTTTAATAAAACACAAACTGGAAACACATTGCCCATATCTCTGCAAATTCAGGACCTAGAAATTTCTCTAAACTCACTTTTGCCTAATCTTCTCGTCCCAGAGGTCTCCTTTATCTAATAGGCATATGTCATTTATATGTACAAGATCATCAATCATGAACCGTGAACCTATCATTTTGACATAAAAGATCTATCCTTAAATCTCCCCAAACCTCTAGCATATAATTTGAGGAAATTAGCTAGCTTAAGGTCTGGGATTCTGACTTCTGGGGGATGAAATGCAAAAATGGAGAAAGCTTAAATTATACAAATTTGATTTTAAAGTCACAATTTAACTGAGCCAGGGATAAAAAATGATATGGTGCAGCTCTTTAAATGTTGACAGAAATAGATGATTTTGTTAATTATAATCTGGTCAATCTTGAATCTCATGCCTAAGAAGCATAGTTTGAAATGAAGGGGAATATTTGCAAAAATAGTTTGACTCATTCAAGCACGCAGTACCAAAACCATATTTTCCTCAGTTATTTATTATTGAGACAAAGAAACACATACATTCATAATGTTGCCACTTGCTTAAGTATGGAACCACCACTTGATTTTTAACTTTTTTTAATCAACTGAGGTGAAAATGGCAGAGAAACCATAAATACAAGGATTAAGACTGCATGAAATTTGAGTTCATTCAAATGACAAAGCCAAAGTAAAACTCAGATGAACTTACCAAATTTCATTGGGTATCCACCTGAAACTATAAATCCTCTTTTGGCATTTGAGAGTAGAAAGGAGGTTCACCTAAAATTCAAACCAGGTTTTTCTAAACCCAAGCCAGCGTCTGTAGCTTTAGGGTAAACTACAGCTGTGCTTTTGGTTCATAATAAAACTTTCATTCCACTTTAGCTAATGATGCCTTGGTCAGGGGCCGGGGGAAGCAAACCAGAAGATGTTTTTGGAATTGCTGTGTTGTCTTACTTCATTTCATATTTCCTGTAAGTAGTTCTGAAGTAGGAAAAAGATATGAAGCAAATTTTCAATGATGTACCTGGGATGAGGACCACCTGTGGTATACTAGAGGGGAAATTGAGTTAAATATGCATAGAATTTTTTAAAAAGGAGAACCCTAGATGAACAATTACCTAACTTTTTTTAAAAAAAATTATTTATGCATACAAGAGCTGGGGTACAGGCCAGAGGCGTGGGGGGTGAGAGGATTCACCAGAGACAGAGTGGGGAACAGAACAGGCAGACTGACCGAAGTACACTGCCGAGGGGAGCAACGGGTGAGATGAGAGAGATTTGCTGTGGCATGGGGGTTCCTCCCTGGCCAGGGATCGAACCCGTGCTGCAGCGGCTGGGGGTAGCTTCATAGGTTGCGTCTTAACCCCTTGCGCCACCAGGGAGGTCCCTAACTAACATTCCTTGAATGCTTTCTATAACTCAACTGTTTCAAGCATTGTGCAGGTATTAACTTAGTTTAACTTAACTGTATCAGGCAAACACTATTATTTCCATTTTGCAGATCAGATACACAAGGCACAGGGAAGTCACATGACTTGCTCAAGTTTTTGCAGCTCCTGAAAGGGGCTAGAAGGCTCACACATCTGGTCTGGCACCTCTGTACTCAAACACAACGCCATGCTGCCTCCCAGAGAAAATACAGTTGCAACGTGGTAAAAGAAACTTCTACCAATGATGAATGGAGAGAGATTTTCCCATTTTTTTTTAGATTTATTTTTATTTATTAATGCATACAAGAACTGGGGCATAGGCCAGATGTGCAGGGGGTGAGAGGGTTCACCAGAGACAGAGTGGGGAGCAGAAGAGGCAGATCTACTAAATACACTGCTGAGAGGAGCAGCAGGTGAGACAGGAGAGGTCTGCTACGCCAGGTGAGGGTCAGCTCCCTCTCTGGGGATCGAACTCAAGGTGCAGTGGCTGGTGATAGCTTGATAGCGCTGAGCCTTTAACTCGCACGCCACCAGGGAGGCCCAGATTTTCCTATTTTTTCAATCAACTAAGAGCAGTAGTGAAATTAATGGGAAAAAATCAATGAAAACATGGTTCATTCTTGTTTAATGTCCTTAGCCCAGAAGTAGGAAGGGAGTAGATTTTCCAAATCTCTCATAAGTCTTTGCCCGTCTTCCCCTGGAATGCTACATATGTAGAATACCATTGTGCCAAAGAGCAAAAGATAAACTGAGTGGAATTCAAAGAAAAAAAGTGCAAAAGTGACAGGGTGAGAGATTGACTGGGGAGGAAAGGTCAAAAGAACAAAATAAGTAAAACTTGGAGGAACGATAGTTAATATAGATCTCAATAGCATTCTAGAAATATTTACAAGAAACGTGAAGGCCTGAGAAATGTCACTAGGAGATTGGAAAGAGGTAAAGAGGAAGGCCTAGGAGAGAAACAAATTAAAGGAACTCAGATGTTGTTGCCATTCTGGAAGATCCAGCAAGAAAGCAATTGTTTCTTGGAAGAATGAGGCCCAAGCCAGAGATTTCACAGGAAAAAGCACCAAAAAACTATTGTTCCCTGTTTTGTGTAGTTGAAGCAGAGAGAGAGAGGCTAAAAAATTAGAACGAAAAAATAAAAAAGAGCTTTCCCTCCTCCTGTTAAGTGGAATGTCCCCTTAACCTTTACCTTTACTTCCTCATTTAACCCCCACGATGAGTTTGCAAGGTGTAGATGATAATCTCCACTTTATAGGTATGGCCACTGAGGTTCAGCGAGGTGGTGTTGCCTGCCCAGAGGCACACAGCCAGCAACCCTTTGAGACTCCCCAAACCCCACAGCCTGTCTTTTCTCACTCATCATCCCTACAACTTAGCCCAGAAGATGGTGTTGCAAAACCACTGGTGTTGGGCCAAATTCATTATGGTGCATTGCCTTTAAAGAACGCACCGATAAGAGCCATAACCCTGCTTCTGAGACCTGGCTGGCATCCTCCGGGGTGGCCCTGTGTGCTCAGCTCTTGCAGAAGCAGTGCGTGTTAAGTCAACACACCACCGTGGGCTCGCGTGTGGGAGCAGACGATAGATGGGTGAACATGTGTGAAGGAAGTGGAAATCTCCACACAGGTCCCAGCCCCTGTGTGTACAGACCGCCCCCCCCAAAAGAAATCACCTGACTGTTTGAAGGCATCTCAGTGCTGATGAAAAGACTGAATTACACTCCCAACTGTTTCCCTGCCAAAGAGAAAAGTTCCAGGTTCTTTAAAAAATATGTAAAGCATCTGATCTGAAAAGTGGGAACAGCATTTGGGACCAATTACCCAGATTAAGAGGCAACAATGCTCTGTTTACACGTTGTAGCCAAGAGCCTTTTGGCTCCCGCCCACAAGCTGGAGATTGTAAATTACAGACATTTCAGCCTAGCGCTGACTTCTCTTTTGACCCGTGTGTCTAGTGCAGAAAGCAGCAGATAGGAAAACCCTCTTGCTACTTGGCCTAAGACTCCAACGAATGGGGAACTGAATACTGTCTTCCAGGTAGCACATGTAACACACAGGTCTCTGCCGTGAAAGTGTGGATTTTATCACGCAGGGAGGAGTCTAATTGACCGTGTATGATGTGTCAGGATGTGGTTTTTCAGTTTGCCACTCGTCAAAAGTGATTTTGGTGAGAGAAGTTAGGAAATAGAAGATCGCTGACATCTTTTGCTTAATTACCATAGCACTCCCATTTAACTCCATTTTCCAATACACTGGTTTAATCAGTCACAAATGGGGAGCGGGTGAACTCACTACCGCAAGAGCAGTGTGGTTAGACACAGCAGCCATCAGAGGCAAAAATACAACATCATTTGGCCAAAACGCAGAAGCGGATGGGGGTTGGATCATTTGGAACTGAGATGTGTGTAGTGTCTCACTCGACAAAGAAGTACCAGTCCTACCCCCAGTGTAACCCTGATAATTCCAGAAGGTTTTTTTTTTTTTTTAATATTCGTCTTTCGGTTAACATACTCCTGATGTTAAGGGCTCGACCTTGCCAGGGGGGCAGGAAACACAGAGGTCAAACAGCAAGGAGGAGAAACTCGGAGGCGTGTATTCTGAGCACAGGCCTGCCAAACGCAGTGATGTGGAAAAGACCAGTCATTATTTTGCTGATAGCTGGGATGCGTAAGTGTGCGGTGTTTGAGAATTTAGTGCACAAAATACCACCTTGGCACCATCAAATCGGGACTATCCAACTTGGATATCAAATTAGAACTATCCAAGGCCTCCTTCTTCAGGTATTGTAGGTTGAGTCCTCAGTTAGAGGAAAACATCATTGAAATTGTGATTATGGAATAACACGGAAACTCAGAGCTGGAAAGTATTTTTATCCAGTCACCCAGTGCCTTATATGGGGGAGGTCTGAGAGTAGAGGCAACTCACATTTGATGCCTTTCCAGCTCCTCCCGAGGTCAACATATATTTCTGATAAAAACTACTCAAAAAATGTAACTTTATTCAATTTTGGATTTTTCTGACCCTGGTCTATCTTGATGTTTTACCATTTTCTGCAGTGTCCGTGCTTCCTGACATTTACAATTAACTCACAAATTAACTTAGAAATCATAGTAAGCTCTCAGCTAAATGACATAGAGGCCACTGGGGACCAGACCAATTTTCTAGAATAAGGTTAGGACTGAGTGGCTCTCTAACAATGCTAAGGCTGGTTGTGCAGAAGTGGTTATTCAAGTGTGAGCAGGAATCTAGGTGTGTGAGGGGAGATGTTATTTGCCTCTAATTTTGTCGGTTACTCAACTCTGACTATTTCTTCATCTGTTCAACAGGGATCACCAATCTTAACAATGTTTTAGAATCCAAGGCTCCAGAGTGGAATTAAGAAGTTACGGAACCCTTGCGAGGAAGTTTGGAGAACACTGTTCCAACTTCCCACTGACCCCAGAGGTCTGGAGATGGGCAGATATGGATTCAGTCCTTTTTGGGAGCTGTCACTGCAAGGCAGGTAATAGAAACGTGTGAAGGTCTAGGTGAAGCCACCAGCTTGGCTAACTAAGCTCAGTCACCTACAGAGATGGGAGGGGCAGGACTCCCTCTCCCCAAAGCTGCCACTATTGGGAGCTTTGTTTTGAGAAGTTTCTATTCCTTCTCTGGTTGTAAATATCTGAGTTTCGAGCACCTCTCCATTAGGGTGGGATTCTGTCCTCAGAAACGATATGACCAAACTTCATATGACAGACATTCAAATATTTGAAGATAACTTTCATTCTTTCTGATCCCTCAAGCCACCAATTTTGTTTTGTTGGCTAAATTCCCCCGTTCCCCAGATGACGAGGGCTCAGAGGTTTTGTTCTTCCCAGTTGGCCTTAGTTGGCCAGACTCTTTGAAGAAGTGTCCAGAAACAGATACAATACTCAGAAGTCGTCTGACCGGCACAGACAACACTGTCCATTACGTCATGTGACTGGCTGGAAGCAGAGCTGGAGTCAGGGAGTAGCCCCCATGCTGTGGAGGCAGAGCTTCAGCCTCGAGGGCTTGTAGAGGGGATTTACTGCATTTAAGAATGTCTCATGTTTATCCCCATTAAATTGCATTTTGTTTTGGCTTTTGGGGTAGCTTTTAGAGTCTGTCTCTCTCATCTTTTGTTCCTTTGCAAATTGACTAGCTTGCCCTTTTGCAGTTTTGCTGACTCATTGATCAAAATATTTCAGAAACCAGGGTCTCTAGCTTTTCATGCCACAGGTAACTATGTGGAAACTAGTTACAGGTGTTATGTCTTCAGCCAGCTCATAAGCAATATTAAAAATACTAGAGTCTCTGCTAGGCTTGCGTGCTTTTAAATCCTGGGTCTGCCAGTCTACCAGGTGTGTCATCTTGGATGTGTGGATTTATGTGTGCCTCAGTTTCCTCATCTATAAACTGGGACTAATAATAATAAGTAGCACCCGCGGTGGTTTTGATGATTAAATGATCTAATATATGTAAAGCACTTAGATACATAGCAAGTACAATTAATTAGATAAAGAAAAAAATTCAAGACAAGGCCTGTATGCATAGAGATGGCATTTCCTTATATTTCTACCTCCAGAGACCAGCACAGTGCCTGGACTTTGGGGCAAATATATTGAGTACATGGATGAATGAGTTTCCTTAGTGTCTGGACACAGGAGCGTAAGCAGATAATATAATCCTTGCTATGGTTTCTAATGCTAACAAATCTTTAATATTATAGAAAAGAAGATCGTGACCATGGAAAGCGATTATGTATATGCATAATCAGATCATCCTCATGGTGGTGATTTTGCCACTAACTTTTCTATGAATGTCTCCCTTTAGCATGGGACACCTGAAAAAAAATCACACCCTAAAGCCCACTCTCAGAGAAAGGTTTTTGGCTGACTTTGTGTCCCTCAGTCTGAGAAGGGGACACTGCCTATTTTTAGTATAAAAAGGAGTGGAACCAGGGAATTCTAGGTTTCTTAGTCAGGTCTTTGTTTTGTTTAAACTTCTGTAGCTTTTGAGATCCCAGGCAGATTCACTCCAAAATGCATGCTAACAAAACTGAAATGGGGGCTCCCTGGTGGCGCAAGGGGTTAAGCATCAGCACTATGCAGCTATCACCAGCAGCTGCAGCACAAGTTCGATCCCCGGCCAGGGAGCTACCCACATGGAGCCGCAGATCTCTCCTGTCTCACCCGCTGCTCCCCTCAGCAGTGTATTTCAGTCAGTCTGCCTGTTCTGCTCCCCGCTCTGTCTCTGGTGAATCCTCTCACCCCCCACACCTCCTGCAACCCAGCTCTTTTATGCATAAATAAATAAATGATCTTAAAAATGATCTTAATAAATGATCTTCAAAAAAATGATCTTAAAAAAATTAATCCGAGATGTTCCCACACCATCCATTCAAGTTTCTCCCTCTCTCTCCTCCCTACTGTGAATCCTGACGTTGCAGGGCCGCCAAGGGTGGGTCTGGATTTAAGCTGCATAATACTGCCCTTGCTTCAGCTCAAGTTCTCATAGGGTTGAAAATATAAATCTTTCAGAGATATTTTATACCTGTAATTCCCTTTGAACTTCCATCCGTGCTAATTTAAGCACGTTTGGTGTTTTCCTCTTTCTCTGTGAATACAGGCAAGCTCAAAGAATAAGACTCACCAGTGTTTTCTCCTTTGTGTGTGCTCAATAGGTGTCCCCGAAGCAATTACCTGCGGGAGACGGGGAGGAGCCAGTGCAGGAGCAGAGGCCACCGGCAATATGATCTGTGGTTGTTGTGTGTGCAAAGTGCTGATACTTTTGACAGCTCCCATCCTAAAGGGGTGTAGCAAGTCATTTGAAATTTGTACACAGACGGCCCTATCCATTACGCATCGCCAGTATCATACCCCTAATCTCCCCAGGCAGAGCTGCTGTTACACTCAGCGGCCCAAGGTGTGTCCCGGTGTCTCCTCACGCCACTCCCGGAGCCCCGTGCCTCGAGGCCCTTCCCTGGGGGGCACCACAGCATCTGTTCAGCTCAGGACAGTCAGAACCACTGGGGTGCAGCTGAACAGAGAGACCTGGCTGTGTGTGAAAAAGGCAGAGGAAGAACAAAAAAAGCTGTCAGTTTTCATAAGAAATTTTTTTTGAAGTCATAGGAATTTTATTTAATTTATTTTTATAATTATTTTATTTTATAGAATTCTTACATCATTTTTCATTTTTGCACAATGTATGCATTTCCATTTTGGTTAGATTCCCCATACAATTCCCACCCTCCTTACTCTGACCCCAATCCCTCCTCTCCTTCCCTGCTCCCAAGTGTGGCTCTGGTTTACAGTTGCTTGTTGATTTTGATTTTTACTTTATTACAATTAGTCTTTTTCCTGGTTTCTTATTTAGGTTTTCTAAATTCCTGCTATGAGTGAGACCATCTGGTATTTTTCTTTTTCTTTCTGGCTTATTTCGCTGAGCATGATCCCTTCCAGCTCCATCCATGTTGCTGAAAATTGCATGTGTTCATCTTTTTTGATTGCTGAGTAATATTCCAGTGTATATATGTACCACATCTTCTTGATCCAGTCATCTATTTTTGGGCATTTGGGTTGTTTCCGCATAAGAAATCTTATCCCTGGAGCATTAACTGTAGCCTGAACCTCACTACATGATCGTCCCACAAATCTGCCCACACTGGACTGGGCTTTAGAAACAGCAAAAACAGAGTGGAGTGGAGGAGAATGGCCTGCTACAGGGCATAAGACTTTGCATCCAAACTTATTGTCTGTGTGTGTGTGTGTGTGTGTGTGTGTGTGTTTGGGTGGGAGGGGTTGTCTCTCCATAGTGCAGTGTCAGAGCCTTTATTTACCAAAATTTAAAGGAGCATTTTGGAACCAGTGACCCTTTTTATATATGGAAAATTTTCTTTTTTTTCTTTTTAAAGATTTATTTATTTATTTATACAAGCACTGGGTACAGTCAGAAGCATGGGAGGGTGAGAGAATTCACCAGAGCCAGAGCGGGGAACAGAATAGGCAGAACAGTGTACAACCAAAGTACACTGCTGAGGGGTGCAGCGGGCGTGGCAGGAGAGATCTGTGTGTAATGTGGGACCCTCGCCGGCGGCTGGGGATCAAACCACTGTGCCAACTGCTGTGCCACTGGGGAGACCCATGGAAAATTTTAAATAAAATTTAAAACAAAGACACAAAGATGCCCAGCCTTGGAAAGTCACCTGGCTGTGTGTCTGGAGTCACATCATCACTGGGGTTAGAACAGAGAGCGTAGGTATCGTCAGGCTGACTCAATCTCTGTGTATTCATCCTCTCCTGGTGTTTTCTGGCGTGTGTTATCTAAGATGAGTCTCTGGAAGGCCTTTCCTGGCCTGTCCGTTCCTCAAATCATACTTTATAAGCCCCCATGTGTCACTGACATGATCTCTGAACTGAGTGACTTAATCCTCATTCCTTAGAGTCACACCCTGGCAGTTGTGAATCACAGAAAGTGCTTTTGTTTGGGGAACAGAGCTGAGTTCCAATCCCTGCTTCTGCGTGTCACGCTAATTGTGTGCCTGGGAATGCTGCTGACCATCTCCAAGGCCCAGTTTCCTTATCTGCCAGTGGTGGTTAGCAATATTTTCTTCTTGGTGATGCTTTTAAAACACCACCACTTAGCACCACACAAGAGCTCACTGTATGAGCGGAGGCCTATGTCACTCAGTGTGGCTCCTAGCAGGCGCTCAATAAAATCTTCCTCCACCATCCTCTGCTTTCTTCCTATTTTCTTCCCTGCCATGGCCCAGTAAGTTCACACTCATGCAAACCTATGTCTATTAAGAAAAATACTGCCTTCAAAGACAGTAACTTAATTAAATATTATCCTGTGAAAGACAAATGACTGCGCATTTAACAGAACACCTTTAAAGCTATACTCATCCTTAGATTGTTGTTATAAAACAGATAAGAACAATCTATTCCAAAGGAAAATAAAAAATAAAGAGTAAGCAAAGCACCAAATTAGACATTCCGTCAAGTCTGATTAATGGCTGCTTCCAGTGGAGATTTTAGCTGAGTTTAGTATCCTGGCCTCTCTGTTAATGGACAGTGGGTAGGGGTGGCCGTCTGATGAAGCTGAATGCATAATTCATTCAAAGTTCACATAGATTTTTTTTCTTCATTTGGGAAAGCCCAGAAGCCGGGTACAATTCTGTTAATGCTAAACTACTAGTAAGTTTCATGATAATGAATGTAAATATAGAAAACTATCTTTCTCCTGCATAAATTTAGCTTCCTTGTCATTCCTTTTCATTTCTTCAGTATGAGGACCCTATTCAGAGTAGAATTAATCGTGAGTTAAAATATTACATCACTCTAAAAAACGTCCACTCCTTCTGAAAAAGGTAGTCTAGGTCACATTAAAAAAAGAATGCACTCTTGAATAGGAAAAAGTGCAATAGGTTAATTTGAAAAGTATGAATAATTCAACACAGAATCATGCACTTCTTTTTACATATTTTCCCAGATGAAAATGTTG